GATTGAAGCTTCGCAGTATTTCTTCTATATTCTTTCATCTTTACGATATATAGAAAAATGTTTAATATATTTTTTGTAGAGAATTTTACGGCACATCTTTTAAGAAAACAACAAAGCTTAGGGGATAAAATCCAATTAAGATATGAGCAAAATACTAAGTGACCGATTTATTCTGGAACACCCGTTAATTCACGCATAGAGAGCTCTTCAAACGCATCATCTTCGGTTGCAAAAACCTTAACTCAAACAAGCCCAAATTTTTATCTTGGATAGTACTTATACCAAGACAACTGTGGTAAAAATTTAAGCTCATTAGTATTCCATTTGACGGAATTATAGCGTAAGCAAAATTTTCGCCTGGAAAATCGCGGTTTTTTCCGTATTTGAGAAAAATTTGTGAAACTTTATTGAGCACACTATGCTGGAAAAGTACGTCTCTATCGTGCGCTGCCTCATATAAAAGAACAAAAGAGGTCTGAGTGCAAGAACTATCGAAAGGAAAATTTCTTGCGTTGATCCGACATATAATACCTGCTTATTGCACAAACATATTAGTAAATTTGTTGACTGATGACGCAATAATGACAGAAGGCTGTCTTTTTGTTTGGAAATATTTTAAACAGTGTATAAAAATCTTAACACAAATCACATGGCACGATTGGAAAAAACTTCAAATAAATGCTCACTCATTAAATCAAGGTCTCAGTTGTGAGTTAATATCTTTGAAACGGATTTTTAGTCTCTATTACTTCTTCAACTTTGATATATAGGAGAACAGAGCTTCAAGGTTTTTAACATTGGAAGGTAAGTCGAAGTCAAAAAGGTTTTTAAACCATCAAGTGGTTTAAAAATATCATCCTTTTTGACTTTCTAAAAAAATGTGGTTCATACTAAAATTTATTATGTCGGATTTTGGCTGTTTGCAAAAGTTCACATTGTTAAGTTCATTTCGAAAAACCTACTAAAGATCCCTGAAAATCTCTTTCAGACTTAGCCGACTAACCAGTCTTGTTCAGTTTTTCGAGCGCTATCGAATGCTGAATTGAAAAATATTTCAGCATCTTTTTGACTCACAGTATTTCAGATTTAAAAGAAGTTCAACTCTAAAATATAAAATTTGAATTAAAATTAAAATATTGACGCTGGAAGGCCGCTTGCTTTTCCAAAATGTAGTCCATGCAATTCTACATCGAAAAGTGTATTTGAAATTCGTTTAAAGGGAACAGATTTCTCGAGAAAAATTATTTGATCGAAAACGTTACTTGTGAACATTTAAGATTTGTTATGAATCACCCAATAGAAAGAGCGCTCTTCAAAACCCAGAAGTCCCAAAAGATTTCTTTTTGGTTGAGCTGTTATGGAGATGGGTTTCTCATCTAACACGTCTACTGTTTAACAGATTGATCCGCTTTTAGTAAAATCTTGCATATTTGGAGTTCTTGGCGGGTCTCAAGATCAACTAAGCACACCAATCACTAGAAAAGCTGTAGATCACGATGAGTACTAAATGGAAAAAAGTTGACGCATGCCGCTATTTGAGGGTGCGAAAGGCTTGATACACGCTATAAACCTGATTTAGTGAAATCTTGTCGGCTTTCAAGTCGTGTAAAAACTGGGTGGACCTGCGTGGCAGTCCGCAGTTCTTAATCAGATATAACAGAGTTCAGCTAAATATGCGGTACATTTCAATACGAGAATGCTTTTCTTCAGGTTGTTGTGAGAATGTTTTGAAATCATACTCTTGATTTGAACTCATCCTCTCTCATAATAAAACAAAATGCTTTTTGAACAACAGGCAAAATATATTCTCTTAGAATGAAGAGGAGAAAAAAATGCTGTCAACGCTGCCATGGATATTTTAGTAAAAAATTTTTGATTCTGACACATACATTAGGACAACTTAATCTCTCTCTCTCTCTCTTTCTTATGGCAATCACTACATCATAGAAAAACCTTTTTTCTCTTCATAGATTAGGAGAGTGACAGAAAAAAATTAATATTTCGGAAGTGGCGTCTTATTCAGTTTCATTCTTATTCTTTCAAAAGACCATTGTTATTGTATTCACCTAATATTTATACGTCATTTAATAATCTCATAAAAAAAAAGAGTAGAATAGTAAATATTGCATGATGCTAACAAAATCTTCTTTTGTTCGTCCTATACATTACAGTTGTTGACGTCATCCATCTATTCTTTTTAATCTCATTCCCCTACGAGTTAGAGGAACAAAAAGATGAGAAGAGAACTGTTTAGTGATCACAGCATGCACAGAAAGAGAACGAAAATTGAGATAAATACTCTTGAATAAAGGGAGAGAAAGCATAAGAAAAAAATGTTTAATGTATAACATAGAATGTGTTAATCGTTGAATAGATAATATAGAGAAGAGTCAAGTCTAATAATATAAAGAGAGGAAAAAAATATATTTGAATGTAATCTCTGCGTGCTAATTTTATTTCTATTCAATATTTATACAATTAAGTTACTTTAAATTTTTAGAATAAATAAAAATTTAAAACTATTGTTTATTTAATTAGAGTACATAAATATCAGCACACATACGCACATTCTTACGATAATTGTTTCATACATCCGTTTTTTTGTGCGTTTTTCCGGTAAGAAAATAGAGAAATCGTTAAAAAACCTGCGTTAAAAAGTTCTCTGATTGATTAAATGCTCTTATTATACTCATGGCACAATCGAATGGCTATTTTTTAACTGTAAATACCACAACACATACTTCAAATTCATTTATTGTTAATACAACAATGTTATCAAATTATTTATTAACATCGACAGCGGCTACTGCAAATATTTATTCAACATTAAATTCTCGTCCTCATCGAACTCGTGCTGTTATTAATGCAATTTATATTATTGGTATTGCATTTATGATGGTAATATTTTTCTTATTGTTATACGTTAATCTTCATGGTAGACGTTGTTGGATAGAACCGTCGACAAGTCATGTTAATCGACGATCGCTTTTAAGACGAAAAATGCAACAGGATAGAAACGACGATGGCGACGAATAGTCTAAAGAGAAAAAGAAACAAGCAAGCATAATCCTCCCATTTCTAGTTTGTATTAAACGTTTTCCAGTGTCTACTTTCTCGATTTTGTCGTACGAAATGTAGTGAATTGGTATTGCTCTACAACAGTTGCTTTATTTGCAATCAAAACCAACTACTGACGTATGTTAGCGTCTTATTTTTACTTATACGATCTTTATTAACGAAACGAAATGATTTGGTTGTTTATTACTGTAACTCTGAGTTAGATTATACATTAGCCATGAAATCTGACTTGAAAATTAACCAGATGATTGTTGAATTATGAAAAACACTCAGAAAATATCGATGAGATTGTCAATCAATTTTTTAGATTCCTGTGCCTAACCAATTTGAAACTGATTAATTTTTTCTCCTCATCAGATATGATTAAACATTTTTATTAAATTTACTTTGTTATATCGATCCTAGTATTTTTTTTTCATATCACTTATTTTCTTCGTTCGCTTATAGATTTATTGTATAAAATCGAATTTTATAACAGTTGAAAGGTAATTGTTTTATGTGTGTAGATTTTCAATAATGATAGTAATTGAATAAGATTTCTCGTATGGGAATAGAGTACAGAGATGATAAAATAAGAAATAAAAATATCTACATCTTTCGACTCATAAATAATTGAATTTTTATATATTTGATGCAAAATAAAACATTATTTTCTTTTGTATTATCTTATTTGTTAATTACGTACATATTGAATAGAAATCGAAAAGATTAATACACAGAATGCCTTTCTTTGCTAGAAACGAGAATATTGAGCATATGACTATCGAACTATTTTATATTAAAAAAAAATTCACTTTGAGCTAAATAATTTTTCTCTCATACATTATTTGTACTTTTTAAACAACAAAGAACTAACGTGTCAGAGTTAGACATCTAATCATGAGAAAATAGAATTTCCTTTGTCAGAAATTCTAATCATTTGCTTTTCTAGTATTTGAGATCATAAGAATACGTCAATCTTTTTAACTGTATTAAATTCATTCATTTATTCATTGAAATATGACAGTATATTGGCTAGACAACGTAACCTTTCTACTACAATAGTATTTTGCCACTCTTTTTTGCACATTCGCAAGTTTTAAGTCGTGACATGACTCTTCTGCGAATGGGCGTTTCCGCGAATAGAACTGTGGTGGCACTAAGCAGCGTGAAAGTGAGTGCAAAAAGAACTCCATTCGCGGACGAGTTGATGTACCATGCAAGCTAAATATACCAATAAATAATCATTAAAGACTATCTCAGTAATAAGATTCACATGTAATACTCTATCTCGCTCGATTTAATAGATAATCTTAACTAAGTAGTCAGTAATTCTGCCAGATAAAAACAGATTTGCCGAACAGTGTGACACACTACTCAGTAAAGGAATATACCGTATTACATCAAGCTCCTTCAGGAAAATAAGATGATGAAAAAAACGTCGAACTGTATTAAATTTTGTAATACGTAGGTGCAATTTCTTCATGAAAAATATTAAAAACATATAATATATGGAAAATGCACAATCAAGAGAATTTTCGAACAATAATAGACAGTTTAGAAGAAGAAACTGTCTTAACTCCCACAGACTTCTTTTTTCGATAATTTCATTTGTTTTGTGAAGATCTATTGATCGTATATAGTTTCATTTTAGCCTTACTCATTTCAACTAGTCTAGACTTTCTATAATTCTTTACTGTCTCTAGTCTTTCTTTGCGTTTATTAACGAATTCATCATGATATTTCCTCTTCATATATCTGCGCATTCGACTAAGAATTTCCATTAGTTATGCACTAGTAAGTTTAGATCGCAGTCTGGATCTCCTACGACCTTTACCTGAATTTATCTATCAGTATACCGCAATACTGACATTGCTAATCGAGGACTATTAGGAATAGTATCATCTTCTTTTTCTATCAAGTAATGCCAGAACAATAAACTCATCAATGTCGTTACAGGAATGGTATCAATAACTAAAATTATTATCCAGGGTCAAATGGTGTAAAGATCAAACTATATGTCAAAACTGCTGTTCAAAAAATAAAAATTCATCTGTATGGAAAACACTCTATAAAAAGAAAGATGAAACCTATTCTAACTGTCTATAGAAACATAGAGAAACAAAGATGAATCGATAATAAGAGCATATGCATCAAACAATACATGCATAAATATTCCGAAATAAGAGATTAAAAGACATGAAATCTATGATAATCAGCCTTCAGCATCATTAGTGTAACTAGTGAAACATCCCCCTCAATTAAGTACATTATTGGATGTAAAGCAGTACATACAATGAAATTTCAACAATAAACTAATTAAAGGACAAGAAAGCTGATTTTCTATAAAGTCAGTGAGTATTTTCATAAGAACTCATCAATATTTTTCAGTAGTTGTAAACGCCACAAATAGTTTAAGATTCGATGTTCTCAAATATACTCATAGAGTTTACAAATGCCGAGATTGGCGTTTATACAACTAGTGAAAAATTTTAGAAAGTTTTCAAAAAAGATCCTAGTCTATAAAATTAAACTCCAAATCTCATTTTCCTTCGGAAAACAGACAAGTACTAGGAAGTTTTCTCAAAATTAGCAGCTACAGCCGGTTGTTTTTGATAATGTCCCTAAAGAACTGCGTTCATAGAGGTCTGCTTTGAAACCAAGAGCGGTTTTTAACCTACAAACCCGTAGCAAACCGCCGATAAGAGCAGTTGTATGTAAATAGGCAAAAGCGATTAATGCTGGTTTCATGGAGAGAAAAAACAATTGAGCGAACGATTATTTTGTCCGAAATCGTCGATGTTGAGCGTTTTTGTGACACTTGCAACTGAATCGCTAAAAAATAATTTTTTTCATGGGCTATTGGTGCATGGATAATATCAGTCTTATTCAGTTTTATGATATATTATCTATTGTGCGTCTCTTATTCGCTACATTAAGTTCGTGTTATGGAATTCACTACAGATAATTATATATTAAATTCAAATTCTATATTACGTCTTAGTATGAAGAATTTGTAATAAGTATATAAAAATCAGAATTATGTCTTCACGCTTTTCTGTTGTTCAATGATCAACTATCTCATTCGAAAAACAGAAAAGATCATAAATTCTTTGTATGTGACAATGAACGCGTGCATTTCACAACAAACTTAACTAATCATTTAGACATTTTATTCTAACATATTGGAAGAAAGAAAAAAGGAAATTAATCGCCTAGATTTACTTGATATATAGAAAAGAGAACATGAACAGAAATAAAACCATGCAACAAATATGTTAGAATGTACGGGTATTGTGGGTTAAAATAGTAGTTAATAATAATAATAGTTCTAATGATTAGTACGTGACAATACACGAAAATCAAGCAAAATATGGGCTTTTAATTCACAAAAAAAAAGTCAACATGTTAGGAAAGACAAATGATAATGGTCATGTTGTAATAATCAATTTGATCTCATTCGTCGCTCATATTATAAATACTCCTTCAGAATAGAAAACTTTTATAGAAAACTAGAATTCAAAACTTGATTGTCAGACTCCAGTACGTGCTAATTTGTCGGTTGGTGATTGTTGCGAAGCATGTCCCAGTAATGGTGAAAATTATTTAATATATTTTGTTTTCTCAAAACAAATGCTTTTCACTTCTTTCGTTAAATTGCTCAATCCTAAGTGCCAGCTTCGTCGATGCGCATCTGTGGCTAATTTCTATGATCTTATTCGAGCTAATTATTTTGCTGGAGAATGTTGTGATTGATGTGATGATAGTAAGTGACCTACGTCTTCTCTCCGAATAGAAGATCATCGTCTTCTATTTCTTTTTTTTGGACTGACCATTTATTGTTAAGCCAGTAGGCTGTTACAAAAAAGAAAAGAGAATAACCAGAAGTAAGATAAAATACATAACAACGCAAATCGAAAAAAAAGGAAACGACACTTATATTATTTATCTCGTACAATTAAAAGGAAAAACAAGCAGGTTCGCGTATTACTTTGTTACCTCATCCACAAAAGTTATCTGTGATATTAGTACCGACTCATGTCTATTTAAGAGCTTCATGACTCTTTTCAATGAAAAGAAACGGCCTAGGTTCTGACCTTTATTTGGTTTAAAACTATCCCAGTAGCAAACGTCATCGAGAATTGGGGAGGTACAGAGGTCCGAGTCGTAACAACGTTCAAGGCTTTTTTAAGATATTTTGCTACGTAAAATTTCAATTCGTCTTCACTACATAACTCAGAAAGCTCGTCAACATCAGCAAAGGGGCAACGGTAAACTAGTCTCATACCAACCCAAAATTTACGATTTAACGACGCTAGGTGAGTTTTCGGTAGAAATGTGTATATTGGAAAAAGCCAGGAAAAGAAAGGAAATGAATATGCAAAGAAACATTTTTTGTTCAGTTTAATCGAGACTTCTTTGGACTTAGACTTTTTTATGGAAGATCTGGAAGATCGTTTTATTGTAGTTAATAGGTTGCTCATGAGTGACTGCGTGGTCTAAAACTCCTTCACACACTCTATTTCCTTCTTCTTCTAAAAATTTCAACATTTCGCTGACTTTTGGTCTAAAGGGAGGTGTGATTACCTCTGATAAGTCATCTGCGAGTAGATGATTTGAATGTGCTTCTAATTTATTCCGTAGATCGCAGTGAAATATAATAAATAGCATAGGTAACAATGCGCTGCCTTAAGGCAAACCTCTTCCAATACGAAAAAATTTAGAATTACATCTTCCATAAACAATTCGCGCTTTACGGCCTTTATTTAAGCCAGTTCCAAACCACTCTCAGTAAATTTAACGGCATACCTATTTTAAATAGTTTTGTAATAAAAATTTCATGAACGACACGATCGTACGCTTTTTTATAGTCCACGTAGATTGTCAGCGACGAAACATTTGCACGAAGTTGTTATTAATGCTGTGATACATGGATAAAACCCTTGTTTTTAATAAACATTTTGGTCTAAAACCAGCTT